GTCTCTTGGAGGAGAGACGAAACGTTTCATTAGAGAAGAACCCGTCCAGAAGACCTACACAATTTTTTTCTTTAAGACAAATGTAACGAATAAATATCGGGGATCAATCATTTACTATTTCAGTTTAACCTAAATCTTTTTATCTGCATACGCCAATAAATCTGAGCATAAATATTTATGTATTAACACATCACAATAGTCTAAAATGGCTCTTCTGTGTATGTAAAGAAACACACATGGTAGTTAGCAACTGATTTATAAATTTTGCTTTAAATTATTTTATTTTAAGTAAGTGTGGATTTTGACCTACGTAATAAATTAGATTTCGCCACGTCATTGCAATGAGTATACCTTTAGGATTACATRGATTTAAATCACCAGCAGCTACAACAATTAATAAATACTCTATGAATAGCAAAGCATTTATTCCAAAGTGTGCAAAATGAGAAATTACCTGTTCCTGMTCCATTGTTATACATTAGATTTGGCCATCCAGGACAATGACTCYTGTCCTCCAGTTTCTCTGTAAAACATGCAAAAACACGAAATTCTTTAGGACAATTCTGTCAAGTCAAGACAAGGTCTGCTGCAGCCATAAACATCACATTCTTCATATGAGACACACAGGTAGACTGCAGACTGCACAGCATTACCTCAGGCTATGCAAAACTTCCAGCTGAAGCGCGATAAATGTGTGCAGCTTTTGTTATCATGAAACATTTGACTTAAATACGGTTCTGACGACCATTATAGCCTCTCCACCTTTCTGCATTTGAGAACCCATTAGCAGCAAGATGTTTGCTACTTTCTTTCGAAATGACTGACACCACTGCCCTGTCATACAWTAACTACAATTATTGAATAAAAAAGTCTGGCTTGAGTAAGTTTTTTCAAAATGTCTGACGAGGAAAGGATAACGTTATTTTTCTGTTTTGTTTTGTTTTGTTTTTCCCCTCCAGAAGAGAAGAGTATCGTCCTGCTCTCTCTCTAACCTTCTTATGTACAAAAACAAGACAAATAAACAGTAAACACAGTTCAAGCTGTAGCACAAAAAAACGGGAAATGCTCCAAAGTGTTGTGTTCGCAAGTTAGCAAAGTTGCTCCGAAAGTTATCACACTGCAGCGCTAACGCTAGCCAAGCTAACTAGCTAACACTGGTAGCAGCGGCTGAAAGGCGAGTTTGTAGAGATTGTTTTCAGGATTACTGAAGACTCCTGCACAGCCCGTGATTATCCAAAGCAGCTGACGGAACATGCAGGCTATAGTTTATGTTTAACTCACATCCCAAGGAGCAACATCGAGGAGAAAGCGCAGAGCTGAGGAGGACAGGCGTGAATTGGCTTCTACTATCACCATAGTAACGGATTATACCAAAAGGGAGGAGAGAATCACCCAAAAAAAAAAAAATTAAAATAAAACACCGATAAGTACCAGAAACATTTTGACACTAAAATCCTTCTGTTTTATTAAGAATGGTTTGGTGTAACTCTTATCAATATTAAACATTTTAAATTGTTCTCAGAGGTGATTTAATATGGTTGTTTCCATTGTTAATGGTRAAACCACTAGGGGGCGACAAACCCATTTCACATCAAACTGACTGCCAATTAGATCACTCTTAACAAAATAAAAATGAAATATAAATGTTTTTATACTTTGGATAATTCAAAATAATTGTTCTCAACATAAAATTTTGAAAATTTTGAACATCTCATCATTACAATTCATATTTTATTGAATTTTAWAAAACCTGGATATATTTCTGTGCACTGAAAGTCAACACAAAATTAGTAAAAATGGCTTTGTCCAAATTGTGATTAAATGTTTTGCTGCCATAGAATTACAAATTGTATTTATATCAGAGTAAGCAGCGGTGGGCACAGTTCC